TATATATATATATTTATTATATATATATATATATATATATATATAAAAATCCTTCCCGTTGATCTTTTTGACCACATCGCAAGTATTCACAAATACTGCTGTCTATAGTAGCAGCACACCTAAGTTCACAGATTACCTATATATACCCTTATTCAAATAACTAGCTCATCAAAGCATTTTCACAAGATAACCTATCCACAGCTATGTTTCAGATATGCTCCCTAATTAAAAAACCGGAACTCAAAATAAAGTGGGGAAAGATAAATTGCACGCAGTTCCTACGCACAATCCTATTTATTAGCACAGTTCTGATTCTCAAAGAGGCAGAGGAGTCTTCCTGGAATAAGGATTTTTAAAAAATCCGTACAATGATAGAGGTACTTCAGAAGAACTTGTGTCGAATAGTGATGATGATGATGAAGGCTGCAAGATTATCACGGAGGTCACGGTTTCCGTGACCTCCATGACTTCTGCAGTGTCTGGTGCGCCTGGCTCAGGAGCAGCTCAGGCAGCCCCTGCACCAGGTGCACCGGCCACTGCTGGGGCAGTCTCGGGCCCTTGCCCCCTCCCTCTGCCCAGCAGCAGAGTTTGGGTGTGAGAGGGAGCAGGGGATTGTAGCACGGGATGGGGTGAGGTGGGCTCTGGGGGGGCTCCCCAGAAGCGGCGATATCCCCCTTGCTCAACTGCTAGGTGGAGGCATGGCCAGGCAGCTCTGCACACTAGCCTGCCTCTGCCTGTAGGCACCGCCTCCGCAGCTCCCATTGGCCACGGTTCCCAGCCAGTGAGAGCTGCAGGGGCGGTGCCTGCAGGCAGAGGCAGCCTGCAGAGCTGCCTGACCATGCCTCTACCTAGCAGCTGAGCAAGGGGGATGTCGCCACTTCCGGGGAGCCCCCCTGGTAAGCGCCGTGACTTTTAATAAAAATATCCGTGACTAAAATGTAGCCTCAATGATGATCCTCAAACTGATGGACCAGGCCTCATGGTTTCAGTTACCTATATAACCCTATATACTAGCCTCAAGATGAAAATTCTTCGGCTTCCGCTTTGGCTAGCAAAGATTATTTGCTAAATACAGCATGTTTATAAAATAGTTGCCAGGGAAGTACTCCTATCCCTTATGTGAGAGATGCAGCAGAGTTCTAAAAGGGGTAATGTTCAATTCCCCAGCCCTATCAGCTACAGCCACTTCCAGTGGTTCCAATTTGGGATCGGGAGCTCACTTCAATAACCTGGCTATTCGGGGCCATTGGAATCTCTGGGAAAGAATCTGTATATCAGTGTCCATGAATTGAGAGAAATTCAGTGGACTCTCAAAACCTTTCTTCCACATCTACAAGACAAAGTGGTCATGGGCAACACAATATGGCCCACGGTTTTGCTCAAGAGCAGGAACAGCCAGCCAGTCCATATTGTATGCATTTCTGCTTGACTGGGGAAATAGATCTCGTCTATGCTTCCTCCCACCCCCCAATTTCTTGTCATTCAAAGAATTCTAAAGAAAACACAGGACAAGACCAGAATAATTGTGATTGCCCCAGCTGAGTGAGTGATTTCCAGGCCTCTTTCATCTATCTAAAGGATCTGTCTCTCCCTGTAACCACAGATCTGCTGACCCAGCAGAACGGTCAGATATCCACCCAGATCACATGGTCTTCTGTTGACAGCATAGGCCAGAGGACTTTGACAGACCTTGAAAAGTCCTCTTCAGACAGTGTCCAACAGATGCTATTAAAACAGTCAATCTGTAGATGCTATTATCTCAAATGGAAAAGATATTTTCAATTTTGGGCAAATAACCTGGATTCAGCATCAGTCTTCATTCTGTCCATACTGGTGTCCTTGCTCCATTTGGAATGATAAGGACTCTCTCTAGATCATCTGTCAAAGTGCACTTGGCAGCTATTTCTGCACACCACATCCTCCTTGATCATAAGACTGTATTTACCTATGACACAGCTAAGATTTGTGAAGGAACTAATGAATGTTTACCCTCCAGTCAAAGAACCAGCACCAATTTGGGACCTCAACCTAGTGTTTATTCAGCTTGTGAAACCTTCCTTTGAACCTTGGGGAAATGTTCCCTATTTCACTTTTCAATTAAGACAGCTTTTGTTATAGCAATCACATCTGGTAGAAAAGTAAGTGAAATACAAGCGCTGATGGCTGATTTGTCATTCATTATTTTCCACAAGAATAAAGTGGTTCTCTATCCCCACAATAGGTGCTGACTCTGTGGGTGCTCTCCAGCCCTGGAGCAGCCGTGGAAAAAAATTAGCGAGTGCTTAGCACACACTGGTAGCCAGCTCTCCTTCCCCCACCCCCAGCACCTCCCATCCATCCCTGCCGTTCAATTCCTCCCACTCCATCCCAGCGCCTCCCGCCTGCCACAGTCAGATGTTTCTCGGTGTGCAGGAGGCTCTGGGAGGAGGGGGAGGAGCAGGGACAGTGCACGCTTGGGAGGGGGCGGGAAGAGGCAGGGTGGGAATGGGGACTTGGGGGAAGGGGTGAGATGGGTTTGGGGACTTGGGGGAAGGGAGCAAGGGGGGGCAGGACCTGGGGCGGAGCAGGGGGTTGAGCAACACCTGGGCCCAGAGGAAGCTGGTGTCTATGGTCCCCATCCTGAATTTCTTCCTAAAGTAGTAATACCATTCCACCACAACCAGGGACAGGAGAGCACTCCATTGAGTACTGCTATGAAACATTCTGCCATCAGAGTGGCACCAGCTGTGCACCCTGTGAATGTGAAAATGTAGAGTCCATCTTAAAAGAACTCCAATTACAGTGAATAACTTTAATTTAGCAATTCACTCTTCCTAGTGTGGAATGTGGCCTCAGAGACAGTACCTCTGGGCTTCCCCCTTTACAGCCCTGTTTATGCCTTTTGAGGTTTCTTTTGATGTGCCTGGTTTACACCAAACACCTTTTTCTCTTGGCCTTTCACCAAATTCATTCAAGGCCCTAGTTAATCTGGTGGCTAAACAGTTTCATTTCCTGCTTTCCTGTCCCACTTTTGTTGCTTACCACCCCCAAATGTACGTTGAAGGTAGACTTACTGAGATGAGGACTTTAACCCACATTTGAAATCCTCCACCCCATCCTTCAGATGACACACTCTGTTGTTGGAAGAAATTATTTTAAATTGCTAATTAATCTCCTGTTCTAATGTTTATAGTCCCTAATCCAAGGTGTTTATCTAGCAGACAGATATTGTCTGCTTTGCTTCTGAGTTTAAAGAGATGGGAGTGTGTGTAACTCTTAGTCTGTCTTCACTAGAAACACTGCAGCTGCAGTGCTACAGCACTTCAGAGTAGACACTCAATGTAGCAAAGGGAGAGGTTCTCCTGTTGCTGTAGTAAATCTTCCCCCTGACAGGCAGTAGCCAGTTTGACCGAAGAATTTTCCATTGACCTAGAGATGTCTACCAGGGTTTAGGTCCGCTTAACTACCGAGCTGTGCATTTTTTCACACTCCTGAGCAACATAGCTGGGTTGACCTAACTTTAGAATTCTCTTGTCTTACCCAATATAGAGCAGAAGTAATGTTATGAATAAGGCTATGACTTAGTCAGAGGTTGCAGAAGTCATGGAATCTGACTTCCAGAGACCTCCGTGACTTCAGCCTGCAGTGGTCAGGAGTTGCAGGGTCCCCTGCCAGTCGTGGGGGCAGGGAACCGCGAAGTACCCCGCCGCCTCTGGTGGCCCCCGGAGCTCCAAGCCACCGCAGATGGCAGGGTATTCCCAAGCTCATGGCAGTGGCAGGGAAACCCCCGAGCTCATGGCCACAGCAGGGGCCTCCAGAGCCGCCAGTGGCGGAGGAACCCCTGACCCTCCGGCTGCTGCAGGCAGCAGGAAACCCCGCAGCTCCTGGCTGTGACAGGGGAACCCCTGAGCTCCCTGCTGCCACGGGCCCCCTAGCTGCTGCAGGCGACTCCTAGCCCCTATGCAGCTGTCCCACTTCAGGCAGTGTGGGGACCTGCAGATCCCCATTTTGTCAGGGATATGTTTAGTAAAAGTCATGGACAGGTCATGGCTTCCGTGAATTTTTCTTTTTTGCTTGTGACCTGTCTGTGACTTTTACTATAAATGTCCGTGACAAAAATCTTAGCCTTAGGTATATATTATTGATGGATTATAGCCTGTTTGGTACAGGAAATGCCATGCTATAGCTGGTTTGAGAAAAGGGGATGTCATATTTAAGAAAGTACTTGGACTACCTCAGAGAACCTTTGTGCTTGTCCTTGTATGTGTATTTGTCACTAACCACTATGCTTATGAATAATTTGTACACTTGATATTTAGGTTCTCTCAGCTGAAGGGCCTGAACCTGTCCCATAATAGGCTGGGGGAGCTTCCTATATTACTGTGTGAGATCTCCAATCTGACTGAACTCAACATTTCCTGTAATGGGCTTCATCACCTGCCAAACCAGATTGGCAGCCTGTTCAAGTGAGTTATTTGACTTTTGTCTTGGCCCTTAAACACCTCTCATCTGTGGTTATAGATTTGCCCTATGTCTTGGTTTGAGTGCAGACAGAGTAAAGGCATCACTGGTGAGACAGGTCCTCTTGCTCTGTGACCCTTACTGAGAACCTAAGAGTGACTTTCACAGTATGACCCAAGGAGGCCTTAATGCCAACTGACCAATGTGTTACAGGAATGTCCTGATTCAGGTACATACATTCTGGTGCACTAAAAAATGTCATGTGAGGGCTTACATGAAAGCCAGGATCACACTGGTTATTAATATAGTTATGAAATGTATGTACAGATACTGTGTAAGGAGTTGTGTGTGTATATATACACTGAAAATATATTCTTAGAGTTTGTATTAAGGGACGAATCACCAGCAGGAGTGAAAAAACAGGTTTTCTGTCAGAAGAGTAAATTAAGCATTATAAATGGATGCCCTTTTACATACAAAGTTATCAAAGAGATGTGAAGTCAGCAGGGAAGGAGCACACAGGAAAAACAAATTACAGGTGGTTATACAGTCTCTGAATACAGTCAATGAACTATGGGGAGTATAGGTAGACGGTAAAGAATACACCCTCTTATTCTGGACCCAGGAAGTAAACAGGCAGTGCGTTTACATTCATGAAAATGGCATCTCACCCAACATTGGTTGAAAATGCTGCAGAGGACTTTGGTGGTGAGATAAACTTTAGACAGAAAGCTAGCCTGTTAGTTAAGTTTAGTTTCTAGAAAGTCTTTTGTTATTTTGTTTTATATGTAACCGTTTGCTTCCGCTTACTCACTATTGCTTGAATTTTTGATGATAAACTTCTTATTGTTTTCCACTATAAATATGGCCAGATCTACATTACAGAGTTAGGTCAATATAAGGCAGCTTACACTGACCTAACTTTTTAAGTATCTACACTACAGCGTTGCTCCTGCCGATGTAATTCCCTCACTACACCAACTTAATCACTCCACCTATATAAGAGTTGTAACGCTGAGGTTGATATAGTTAGAGTGACGCAGTGCTTGTGTAGACACTGCGTTACTTACATTGCCTGTCAACTTGGCATCAAGCTCCCAGCTGGGAGCCTGGCCTCTCAGCCACCCCCCCCCAAACTGTCCCCCGTAAGTTGAGGCAAGTGCTCCTGGGGAGCACGCACACCACCGACAGAAGAAGGGTAGTGTGGACATGAAAAATTGCAGTAATTACTGCAGTGGCTGTACGTTGACCTAACGTAGGTAGACTTAGTTGTCATCATCAGAGGAAAGCTCCGCACTAACCTGAACCCGCACCAACTCAAAGCAGCACCAAATCCTGCTGTAACATGCAAAACCTGTGGACATATCTCCACTGCTATGATGATGAACACAATACACCTTTCAAGATACATGGGTCCTGCACATGCCTATCATAATGTATGGTTACCTTATCCGGTGCATTAAATACTCCATTAACAAGTTTGTGGGTGAAATGAGACAATCACTATGCTCTCGCATGAACTCACAGAAAGATGCTGAAAGACAAAAACACCAGATCACGGGTGGATGAACTGTTTTCACAAAGCAATCACTTCGTATCTGACCTGTCAGTCCTTATCCGTAAAGGAAACCTTCAGAGTACTATGACAGTGCTGGGCAACAGTAGCTGTACCAACACTCTGATAACTGGATCACCAATTAAATCACCCCAGAGTAAACCTGAGGGGCAAAACTTTGTCCAGTTGAGCAGTTGGGGATGGACTGGAGAGAGCTACAAGGCTCATTAACCCAAAAAGTAGAAAAGGTACAGGAAGGAAGTGTCAAGTGTGGGGAAGAGACTGAGAGTCTTACAACATAAGAATGGCCATATTGGATCAGACCAATGGTCCATCTAGCTGAGCATTCTATCTTCCAACAGTGGCAAATGCCAGGTGCTTCAGAGGGAGTGAACAGAACAGGTAATCATCAAGTGATCCATCCCCTGTCGCCCATTCCCAGCTTCTGGCAAACAGGTTAGGGACACTTTAGAATGTGGTTTGGCATCCCTGCCCATCCTGGCTAATAGCCATTGATGGATCTAGGCTCCATGAACTTATCTAGTTCTTTTTTGAACCCTGTTATAGTCTTGGCCTTCACAACATCCCCTGTCACTGAGTTCTACAAGTTGACTGTGCATTGTGTGAAGACATGTACTTCCTTTTGTTTGTTTTAAACTTGCTGCCTATTAATTTCATTTGGTGACCCCTTGTTCTTGTGTTATGAAAAGGAGTAAATAACACTGCCTTATTTACTTTCTCCACACCAGTCATGATTTTATAGACCTCTGTCATATCCCCCCTTAGTCGTCTCTTTTCCAAGCCAAAAAGTCCCAGTCTTAATAATTTCTCCTCATATGAAAGCTGTTCCATACCCCTTCTCTGTACCTTTTCCAATTCCAATATATCTTTTTTTGAGAGGGGGCGACCAGATCTGAACACAGTATTCATGATGTGGATATACCATGGATTTATATAGAGGCAATATGATATTTTCTGTCTTATTATCTATCCCTTTTTTAATGATTCCAAACATTGTTAGGTTTTATGACTGCCACTGCACATTGAGTGGATGTTTTCAGATCACTATCCATAGTGATTCCATGATCTCTCTCTCTCTTAAGTGGTAACAGCTAATTCAGACCCCATCATTTTATGTGCATAAGATGGGCTTATGTTTTCTAGTGTGCATTACTTTGCATTTATCAACATTGAATTTCATCTGCCATTTTGTTGTCCACTCACCCAGTTTAATGAGATCCCTTTGCAACTTTTCGCAGTCTGCTTTGGACTTAGCTATCTTGAGTAGTTTTGTATCATCTGCAAATTTTGCCACCTCGCTGTTTACCCCTTTTCCCAAATCATTTATGAATATGTTGAACAGTACTGGTCCCAGAACAGACCCATGGGGGACACCATTTACCTCTCTCCATTCTGAAAACTGACCATTTATTCCTACCCTTTGTTTGCTATGTTTTAACCAGTTATTGATCCACGAGAGGACCTGCCCTCTTATCCCATGACAACTTACTTTGCTTAAGAGTCTTTGGTGAGGGACCTTGTCAAAGGCTTTCTGAAAATCTAAGGGTACGTCTATACTTACTTCCTGGTCCGGATGTAAGCTATCGATCTTCTTGTCACTAACCACTATGCTTTATGAATAATTTGTACACTTGATATTTAGGTTCTCTCAGCTGAAGGGATCGATTTATCGCGTCTTGTCTAGACGTGATAAATCGATCCTGGATCGATCCCGGAAGCGCTTGCTGTCGACGCCGGTACTCCAGCTCGGCGAGAGGAGTACGCGGCATCGACGGGGGAGCCTCCCTGCCGCGTCTGGACCCACGGTAAGTTCGGACTAAGGTACTTCGAATTCAGTTATTAACGTAGCTGAATTTTTGTATCTTAGTCCGAAGTGGGGGGTTAGTGTGGACCAGGCCTAAGTATGCTATATCTGCTGGATTGCCCTTGTGCACATGTTCGTTGACCCCTTCAAAGAATTCTAGTAGATTGGGGGGGGGGGGCATGATTTCCCTTTACAAAAAAACATGTTGACTCTTCCCCAACAAATTATGTTCATCAGTGTGTCTGAAAATTCTATTCTTTACTATAGTTTCAACCAATTTGCCTAGTACTGAAGTTAGGCTTACCTGCCTGTAATTGCTTGGATTGCTTCTGGAGCCTTTTTAAAAAATTGGTTTCACATTAGCTATCCTCTAATCATCTGGTACAGAAGCTGATTTAAATGATAGGTTACAGACTACAGTTATTAGTTCTGCAATTTCACATTTGAATTCCTTCAGAACTCTTGGATGAATACCATCTGATCCTGGTGACTTATTACTGTTTCATTTATCAATTTGTTGCAAAACCTCCTCTAATGACACCTCAGTTTGGGATAGTTCCTCAGATTTGTCACCTAGAAAGAATGGCTGAGGTTTAGGAATCTCCCTCACATCTTCAGCTGTAAGAAGAAGAACAGGAGTACTTGTGGCACCTTAGAGACTAACAAATTTATGAGGTTGATGGATTTCCATTCCATACGGCTAAATGCAGTGCCTTGCATAATGACAGGTTTCAGAGTAGCAGCCGTGTTAGTCTGTATCCGCAAAAAGAAGAACAGGAGTATTTGTGTCACCTTAGAGACTAACAAATTTCATTAGGTTGATGGATTTCCATCTCTGAAACCTATCTTCAGCTGTGAAGACCGATGCAAAGAATTCATTTAGTTTCTCCGCAATGGCCTTATCTTCCTTGGGTGCTCCTTTAGCAGCTTGATGTCCAGTGGCCCCACTAGTTCTTTAGCAGGCTTCCTGCTTCTGATGTACTTAAAAAAAATTTGCTGTTACTTTTTGAGTCTTTGGCTAGCTGTTCTTCCCATTTCTTTTTTGGCCTTCCTAATTATATTTTTACACTTCCCTTGCCAGAGTCTATGTTCCTTTCTATTTTCCTCAATAGGATTTAACTTCCACTTTTTAATGGATGTCTTTTTTGCCTCTAACTGCTTCCTTTACTTTGTTGTTTAGCCACGGTGACACTTTTTTGGTCCTCTTACTATGTTTTTTAATTTGAAGTATAAATTTAAATTGAGCCTCTATTATGGTGTCTTTAAAAAGTTTCCATGCAGCTTGCTGGGATTTCACTTTTGAAGAGTCAGAGCCAGGAAAAATCTCTCAGTGGGAAGACACCTAAGGAGTATATGCTATTGGAAATACAGAGCTACACAAGTTTGTAAGGGTGGAGGAGAGAACATTGTAAATAAATTGCACACAGGGTGTTTGGCCAGAAGTAGGTCTTTGAGTGGTATGTGGCTAGAAAAGAGGCAGGAGTGGGGTGATGCCCTGTCACAATCACCTTCCAAAGCCAAGCCTGGGAGCTTACATTCATAACTTTACTAGACACTAACAATTATGGTCTTAATAAAAACACTGGATTTATGGCTTATTACAACAATCTGTAACTCACTATGTCCGATGACTGTGAGGTGTTAACTGGCCACTTCACCTGGAATGGGCTCTTACAATATGTGGTAACTACTTATGCTAAATACTCTGTGCCACCTGATATTTATCTGAGACACTCTGGCTATGACTGCACTACAAAGTTAAGTTGACTTAAGTTAGGTCAGCGATCATCCACTGCTGTAATTAAACCACTTTTGCATGTCCACATAACGCTCCTTGTGTTGGCGGAGTGCATCCACAGTTGGTGCTCTTGCATTGATAGAGACAGCAGTGCATTGTGGATAGCTATCTGCTGCTGGGCGCTCTGGGAAGGGATCGCAGTGAATCATGGGGGCGGGCTCAGCATCCCATGATGCAGTTTTCTTCATCCCATCATTCCATGGGCTTCCTGCTACGTTTTGCGCCACTTTTCAACAGCCCCTGTAAACTGTGCATCTGCCATTTCTGTCTGAAAGCATGGATCCTGCACTGCTCTCCAGTCTTGCGATGAGCATTAGAAACACAATGCGGCTGATCCTGCAGTATTTCGTGAGCTGCGAATCTGATAATGACACTGTGATGTCTGCCCTGCTGCATGCCATGGAAAGAAACAATTCAGGGTTGCTGTTGGTATTCATGGGGCAGCTACATACAGTGGACCATTGATATTTTGTCTTGGGAAACAAGCACTGAGTGGTGGGGTTGCATCATGATGCAGGTATGGGATGACGAGTAGTGGCTGCAGACCTTTCAGATGCTCAAAGCCACTTTCCTGGAACTGTGTGCAGAGCTTGCCCTCAGTGCAAGGACACCAAAATGAGAGCTGCCCTCACAGCAGAGAAGTGAGTGGCAATTGCTGTGTGGAAGCTGGCAACTCCAGAGTGCTACTGATCAGTTGTGAATTAGTTTGGAGGTGGGAAGTCCATTGTGCGGGTTGCAGTGATGCAAGTGTGCAGGGCCATTAATTGCCTCCTGTTACAAAGGACTGTGACTCTGCCCAATGTTTGGGAAATAGCTTTGGGGCAATGGGATTCCCTAACTGTGGCGGGGCAATAGATGGCACGCATATCCCCATTTTGGCCTCAGACCACCTTGCAATGGAATACATCAACAGAAAGGGCGACTTTTCTAGGGTATTGCAAGCGCTGGTGGATCACCAAGGTTGTTTGGTCAGGGAAGGTGCATGATGCATCTTCAGGAACACTGGCCTGCCTAGAAAGCTGTAAGCAGGGAAGTGGAAATGCCAATTGTGATCTGGGAGACCCAGCCTACCCCTTGTTCCCGTGGCTCACGAAGCCTTACACCGGAAACCTTGACTGTAGCAGGGAGTACTTCAACAACCGACTCAGCAGATGCAGAATGACCGTTGAATGTGCCTTTGGCAGATTAAAGGGTTGCTGGCACTATTGGCAGGTTAGACCTCAGTGAGGGAAAATATTCCCATGGTCATAGCAGCCTGCTGTGCTCTGCATAACATTTGTGAAACTAGGGGGAAAAGGTGGATTGGCTGGAAGCTGCTTTTGAGCAGCCACATACCAGGGCTGTTAGAGGGGCTCAACAGGGGGCTGTTCAAATCAGGAAGGCTTTGAAGGAGAATTTTGACCATGAGCCCCAATAATATGACTTTCTGTAATGAATTGAGCCAGGCATTGCTTTCTTGCGCTGTAATATGAGCCTTATAATGAGTGCTGTGTGTGCATTAATTTTACTTTGCAAATGCAGCGATTGCTATTCTGTATGAATTTCAGCAGCAACCACCACGTGTAGTAGACCATTAAAGATTCATTTTCTTTCTATAAGTACATTTTTATTTAACAGCTATACAAACATTTCTATTACCTACAAGGGACATGACAACGAAGAGCACTTTTTACAATGAGGCTTTCACAGCTGGGTGTGTGTCCAGCTATCATTGTGAAACATGTTCCTGGGTGGAGTGCATGGAGTACTGCGACGGACCAGGAACACGCGAAGAATGGGGGTGTGGGGAGAGTTTGGGGAAGGCATAGAAGGTGTTTCTGTTTGGGTTGCAGGGGGAGACAAGCATGGATGTGTTCCGCCTGCAGCACAATCAGGGACCTCAGCAAGTCCGTTTGGCCCTCAAGCAGCTGTATCATCCACTCCTGCCCGTTTCCTCTCTTGGCTATCCATTCTCAATTTTTCGTTGATAGCCTCTCTCAATGCTCTCTGCTCGCTATCAGCAGCATCAGATGATTGCAGCACCTCCCTGAACATTTCTTCCTTACTCATCCTGGTTCATCTCCTTATCAGACAGTGCTGCTCAGCTAGTGTGCAGGAATAGACCCTCAAGGCCCCATCTGAAGAAGTTAAAGAAACAATAAACAGAGGCACTACTATGAGTGCACTCACAGCCTTAATTTCTTTCAAGTTACATACACCAATTTCTCACTTTCCCATAGCAGGCACACAGCACAGCGAGAGCCCTAACCATGGTGGGTTTGGCACAGGGGGAAAGAGGCAAGATGGGACAAAGGGTGGGTGGGTTTCAGAGGGGGATGACTACAAACGCCTAGGGACACTATTCCGAGTACTGGCACCGTTTTCCAAAGGCGAGGGTGATAGAAGCTGATATCTCGCTCCTCAGGGTAACCAGGGATGCAAGGGTACAGCTCCTGCATGCATGCAGCTGCAGGCTGAGTCTGTATGCTGCTCGCCTGTTTAGTGCCTGTAGAAGTAATTACCGATTAGCACAGCAAAGTTACTTACCCCGGGGGGAAGAAAGAAGGCAGCCCTCCCAAGGAACCTTTGGCAGAGGATTGCAGAGTACCTTCACGAAAGTTTCCTAGAGATCAGTATGGAGAATTCCTGGCACATCTCAGTGTGCATCAGCAAACTTTTCCATCGGGTCCCCTCTGTCTAGGTGCACAGGGAAATGAGAAGCAGATGCAAACAGTGCTACTGTTGGTTATTTCTATCCCTCTTCTACCCTTTGAAAAAAAAATATAGCTCTACCTCATTTCTTCCTACAGTATCAAAGCACAATGAGTCTTTACTGAAGCTCCCCTCTCCTGCATCAGGTTTGCCAGAGTGCTGGGGCTACCTAGACCCCCCCTGGAGTTAAAAGAGGTCCTGGCTTGCCATGCCCCCAGACATCTCTATTGCCTGTCCCCCATCCTCCTCCAACTCCACTTCCTTGTCCACCACTTCATCCTCGGGATTCACTCTTCTGCTTCCAGCCTCCCCAAAGTATCCACAAGGGTCTTGGTGGTGGAGGTGGGGTTGCTGCTGAGGATGGCATGCAGCTCCTTGTAGAAGTGGCATGTCTTTGGCAACGCACCAGATTGGCGATTGGCCTCACTGGCCTTCTGGTACACCTGCCTCAGCTCCTTGATCTTTGCACGGCACTGCTGCGTGTCCCTCTCATACCCCTTAAGCTCCATGCCACAAGTAATTTGCCCATAGTTATCAAAGTTCCTTTGGCTGGAGCAGAGCTGCGACTGCACAGCCTCCTCTCCCCACAGATCCGACAACTCCAGTGTACTCCAGGCGGGAGTGTTTGCTGCAGGTACTCACCATGGGCAGCTGGGAAGATGCTATGTGAGCTGTCTACACCGAGCAAACAGGAAGAAGAATTTCAAAAATTCCGGGGCTTTAAGGGGGAGGGACACATGCTTGTGTACCTGGCTGCAGGGCAGTGGAGTTCAAACCAGAGCAGTCATGATGAGCATTGTGGGACACTACCTGGAGGTCACTTAAGCTGACATAAGCAACGCAGTGTCTACGCTGACATTGTGTCGCTCTAACTTTGTCGTAAAAAGCTCTATGCTTCTCGTCCAGGTGTTTTTATTATGTCAGCATAGCAGGAGAGTTCAATTGGCAGGAGGAGCATTGCAATGTCTTCACCTCCACTGTTTTGTTGATGAAAGCTGACTTTTGTTGACAAAACTGTATAGTGTAGACATGGCTTCTGAGAACCTTTTCCAGAGCTAAAGAAGAGCTCTGTGTAAGCTCTTAAAGCTTGTCTCTTTCACCAGCAGAGGTTGGTCCAATGATGTTACTTCACCTATCTTGCCTGTCAAATAAATACTCTACAGTTACAATGTAATTACGCTTTGCTTATGCTAACTTCCACTGATTCATATAACTAGAAGCTTAACTACACAAGTGAAATATTAATCCGGGGCATTTATATTTTATACATCCAATTTTAGAACTCAAGCATATTAGCTGAATAATAAATAATCATGTAATAACCGTACAACGCTAGGAACAAGTCACAGTTAGCTATGGGAAATAATAAAATGTAATTAGCCAGTGTATAAATTCACTGACAGTGTTAAACAGGTGACTCAATTCTCCATCCCTGAATGTTTCTCTTTTTCCCTTTGCCTGCAACAGTCTCCAGACCTTATGTCTTGATGGGAATTTCCTCACATCTTTGCCAGAAGAGCTGGGACACCTGCAACAGCTCTGCTCCCTCGGGCTTTCCTTCAACAACTTCAGTGAGGTGCCAGTGGTCTGTGAGAAACTCACTGCCTTGGACAAACTGGCCATGGCAGGGAACCAGCTGGAAACCCTGAACCTTGGGGTGCTGAACAGGATGAGCCACATCAGATATGTGGATCTTAGGTAAGTGGACTCTAGCTGCTTTGACATACATCAGCCAGAGTGCTCCTCAACCTCACTTCCAGCAAAGAAAGCTGTATAAATGCTCTAGCATGTCTTAGTAGGCATCCTGGGTGGTTGTGGTGTTATTGGTATTTTCACAGCTTGGGAAATTCCACTTTGGAGGGTATTTAAGAGAAAGGCAGGCTAATTGTGCTGTGGCTGAGGTCGCTGAGCACTGACCAGTCCTCTGCTGTTCAGCGCTGCTGCTCTGCTACTCCTTAGTAGGGAACTCACCAGCTCTCCTGGCCTTGCCTCACTTGCTTCTCTGGAGACGAGACAGTTACTGATTTCTAGCCTGTACATTCCTGCAGCAATGGTCTGCTTCATCCTTAGAAAGACATAGTGAGACTTCTGATCAGTTAAGAGACATGAAAATCTTATAGCTGAATTAACATGTATAGCAAGTGCCTTCCCAGGTTCCTGTGTGACCACGCACAATACAGCTCTCTGTCCCAGAACCAGGCCTTTTGTCTTTTAGCCTCTGGAATCTGCCCTCAGCATCTCCTGACTGTTAAAGGTGCTCAGAAACTGAGTAGAGCCAATAATATTTAATGCAATAATGAATAGTAGGTGAACAGACGTAGGGACTGTACTGTCTGTACCCCTCCCAGAAAATCCCCCTTCACCAGGACCCTTCCTCTACCTCACTCACACCTCCACTCCTCTATCCTGGGTTTGGTCTCCAGACTCCCCCATGTCCCTCCTTTTGGTGCAGTCTCCAGCCTGTCTGTTCCCCACTTCTCTCTCCTGCCATCATGTCACTCTGTCCCCCACCTCCCCAAAAAAACAGTTCAATGTCCTTTTCTCTGATCCTTTATCTCTGAATGTTTAGGCTGAACCACCTGAGGAGATTATCTGTTGACAGCCTGGAGGGGAACAAATCTGTGACCCACATGGATTTGCGAGACAATCAGCTGACTGACCTGGATCTGAGCTTTCTTGGCAGTCTAGAGCAGCTGCACTGTGAGCGGAATCAGCTGAGGGAACTGACTCTGAGTGGCTTCTCCCTTCGGGCCCTCTATGCCAACACCAACTGTATGTCCATTGTATCTCCTTCACCTGCCTGCTCCCTCCCCAGACCCAGGGAGAGCCCTCCTGTCACCCCCACACAGAAACACAGGTTGGCGGCTCCCTGGAGTTCAGCCCTGCTCTTAGGCCTGGTCTACGACGGTGGGGGGGGGGGGGAGGGATCGATCTAAGATATGCAACTTCAGTGATGAGAATAGCGTAGCTGAACTCGACGTATCTTAGATCGACTTAGAATCACTTACTTCGAGTCCTCACGGCACGGGATTGACGGCCGCCGCTCCCCCGTCGACTCCGCTTCTGCCTCTCGCCGTGGTGGAGTTCCAGAATCGATGGCAGAGCGATCAGGGATTGATCGATCACTACCCGCCGATCCGGGTAGTGTAGACGTACCCTTAATATCCTGTGGATCAGTAACCACTTTAAAGATGGAAACAGTAGCAGCCCAAGGGATTATCCCACAGAAACTTGTTCTGCTGTGCTCTGCTCCATCCAAAAAGGGCCTCTTCTCTTAGTATTAGTATTGTTGATGGTATAGTATTTTATTTACTTGTATTATGGTCAGGAGCGCCACCAGTTTTTCTGCCACCCTAGGCAGCAGAAGATCCCACCCCAAAATGCCGCCCCCCACAGAGGCAGTGGAAGGTCCCGCCATCGAAATACCGCTGCGGTCGTTGCCCCCCAAATTGTAGCGCCCTAGGCGACCATCTAGGTCGCCTAATGGGTTGCGCAGGCTCTGATTACGGTAATATCCAATCAGATCAACACCCCATTTTGCAAAGTGCTTTGCAGATAGAGTAAGAGTCTAACTCTTCCCTAAAGAGCCTGCCTTCTCGGTTAAGGTTATCCAACCAAGTATGTATAAGAAACAGAAGGAGAAGGCGTATCAGTCATGGGAACATGTGGCTGCATGGGCACATGCCCTGCTTTTGGTTTTTAAAGTTATAAAACAATAAGTGCAGTTTTTAGGATCTTAATGATACCTGTAATCCCCACTGGACACCTGTCTATCCATTATTTCTTGCTGCCAGGGATGTCTTGTTTCAGTAACAACAACAACGAGGAGTCCTTGTGGCACCTTAGAGACTAACAAATTTATTTGGGCATAAGCTTTTATGGGCTAGAACTCACTTCATCAGATGCATGGAGTGGAAAATACAGGAGCAGGTATAAATACATGAAAAGATGTGAGTTGCCTTAACAAGTGAGAGGTCAATCTAACTAGACAAATCAATTAACAGCAGGATACCAAGGAGGGGGAAATAACTTTTTGAAGTGGTAATGAGAATGGAGACAGTTGACAAGAAGGTGTGAGTAACAGTAGGGGGAAATTAGTATTGGGGAAATTAGGTTTAGGTTTTGTAATGACCCAACCACTCCCAGTATTTATTCAGGCCTAATCTGAATGTGTCCAGTTTGCAAATTAATTCCAGTTCTGCAGTTTCACGTTGGAGTCTGTTTTTGAAGTTTGTTTGTTTGTTTGTTTGTTTGTTTGTTTATGAAGAATTGCCGCTTTTAGGTCTGTTGTTGAGTGACCAGGGAGATTGAAGTGTTCTCCTACTGGCTTTTAAAAGTTATGATTCCTGATGTCAGATTTGTGTCCATTTATTCTTTTACGTAGAGACTGTCCGGTTTGGCCAATGTACATGGCAGAGGGGCATTGCTGGCACATGATGGCATATATCACATCGGTAGATGTGCTGGTGAACGAGCCCCTGATGATGTGGCTGATGTGATTAGGTCCTATGATAGTGTCCCTTGAATAGATATGTGGACAGAGTTGGCACCGGGGTTTGTATCAGGGTTTGGGTCCTGGGTTGGTGTTGTGTGGTGTATAGATGCTGGTGAGTATTTGCTTCAGGTTGGGGAGCTGTCTGTAAGTGAGGATTGGCCTGTCCCCCAGAGTCTTTGAGAGTGAGGGATCGTCCGTCAGGATAGGTTGTAGATTCTTGATGATGCGCTGGAGAGGTTTTAGTTGGGGGCTGCAGGTGACAGCTAGTGGTGTTCTGTTACTTTCTTTGTTGGGCCTGTCTTGTAGTAGGTGACTTCTGGGTACCCACCTGGTGGGTACAATACCCACCTGGGGAAGTGAAGAAACAGATTGACAGAGACCTGCTGTGTCAGTGCTGGGGGGATCCCCCTGCAGCCCCGCTGTCAGAAGTGACCTTAATTGCTGCAATCCTGCCGTGTCCTCACCAAGCTGTGGTTACCACTGCAACACCCTCATAAAGTGACTCCTGTGCATGATACGTTGCCGTGGTAACAAGGCAGCTTCCTGAGGCACCAATACCTGCACCATGATTTGAACCTCACCTGCAGCACATCATTTTCTGGCATTGTGTTTCAGTACTGAGATGGAGAGAATAATGTGACAAATTTAAATCAAATTATAAGAGCTTCTTGTGGACTTTTGTTACTATTTATGAACATGCTTAACCGTCCTTAAGCATCTCTCTCTATATATACAAAAAATGTAGCTTTTGGGCATTAGCTTTTCAGTTTTTTAGTTAGGCTGTGCCTCACTTGCCTAGGCTGATGAGCCATCCACTGAGTACAGCCTCCTGCAGCAAAGTGAACCTTCCCGACTGGTAGAACTCACTGACACTTCCCTCTAGTTCATCATGCTTTTCATAGGGAGAAAAGGAAATGGAAGTGCATTTCAGTAGCATCTTATAATAAGAGTTACAAATGGAAGGATGTCCGTGCAGATTCTTGCTTTAGTCTGTGGCATTGTTGCTTAAAGTACTGATGTTGGGTTGTAGCAAGAATGATCATTTTTGATTTGCCATGTTCACTAGCCTTCCAGAGCAATCCCGCCTCTGGTGCTTTGATTAAATGATACATGCCCTCAAGTTATTCTCATTTTGCTGCTGTTCCTGAAAGAGTGAGAATGGTTCTCTTGCTGCCCTTTGTGCTGCACTGCATCATACTAGAGACAAGAATCCTATAACCACCGCAGTAGAAATAATAATCTCTTGGAACACCCTTTTAGAGAAATATGTAGTTCTGATACCTGAGGAGAGAAGAACTGCAGCCTGGCTCTTCATACCATGGGCTTTTCCTGTCTGCAGATGCAACAAATGTCTGTTTGGGCACTAGAGATTTTGAAGGGTTGGCACTTGATATCTACCTTAGTATATTTCTGGGAAACAGTGTTTGTGTCTCTGCTGTTCCCCTTCTAGCAGTCTGGACTCATTACTGTTTGCTTTATTTGATCAGGTCTGATGACTGTAAATGTTTATCCAGTCCCTACTCTGCTGACCTGCCTAGAAATCTCCTGGTAAGTGGTGACACACAAAAGGATACAGAGTGAAATCCTGGGGGGCCTGGACCACTTCCTGCAGATTCTCTGGAATCCAAGTCCTGGGCTGTGTGTATTGAGTGACACAGGCACTTTCTCTAGGCTTCTTGGGAAATTACAAGGAGAAACTTGATTATTATCAAATCTGTGTTTTGCATGGATCTATCAAAGGTCTTTGTATAGTGATTTCCACTGTTGCACAGGATCTGTCTCTTCAAAGACGTCTGCTCTTCTGTCCCTGAAAGGATGCTCAGTTGGATTTTTCTGTCCATTCAGTTAACTGTTCATTTGAAATGCCACTTTGTTATTTCAGGCCTTTTCCATCCCCAAAACTTGCCTTCGGAAGAGAAATCTTTGTTCCTTAGAACTCAGCCCTATAGCATGCCCTTCCCCCATGTGCATGTTGGCTTCCATGGGAATTCTACCACAGTTCAAGAGGTCAACATAAATGCCAATGCCTGAGTTTTTGTGCCTCAGAAGCTCTGTTCATGTAGGAGGTAAATATGCTTCTGGAGTTAAGCACAGCAGTGATTGGATTTGGCTTGTCTGTATGGGAAAGTTTTGTGAGTATGCTGGTGTAATTAAACCAGTATGTATACTACTATAACTGCCTATCAGGGATTTCTCTTCCAGAATGAGTGTGGGTTTTTCTGTTTACTTTAAACCTCTTCCAAAGCAATATTAGCTATACCACAAAAAGGCATTCTGGTACTGGAGTAGTGTGTCCACATGAGAAGTTATACTGGTATAACTGTATCAGTTTAATTCATACTGTAGCTTTTACCAGTATACCTTTCCCATGTAGACAAGCTCTTAGTCCCATTTCCTGATGGTGTTGGGAGCTTTCAGTTCATCAGCTGATTTCTCTAAGTTCGTGAAGCAACTTCCAGAATGTCCAAATGTTCCTCTTCCTGCCTTCTAGAGGAAATGGGAGGGATATAGTTCTTCTTTGAGTGATAGTCTGTATACATATTCAGCAGTTGGTGTTTGCTTGTCCAGTGTGCATGTCTCAACTTTCTGTTCAGCAGCATCCATTAGGGTGGTACATGCTTCCTTCACATCCCCATTTGTTCCAGGAAGAATATAAAAGATGGAGCTATCCAGCCACACCCTTCTTACTGCTTGTGGCATGGGTCAGAGCAGCTCACTTTTGGAGCAAACATACCTGTTTCTCATTGTGCATAGTTCTTATAGTTGGCAGTTAGTGATAGTGTTAGGTTTTTACTTTTTCCAAACTTGGGTTCTTCAGCGAAGAAAGGACTTCTCCTTCACTGAATGTTTGGTACCGATTGCCTGCCTGGGAGACCACAAGTCCTCAGACTTTGAGCTGCCCCTCATATAAGGCCATTATCTCCTGAACAACGATCATGCAAGGGGTCTGTTCCACTTCAGCAAGGGACACGTTTCAGACCATTGCAAAATCTTTATGCCCTTCTCAAAGCAGACCCCGCAGTTGAGGGAGTCCCACCTGAGGGCCTTCCTGATGGAGCAGTCTCTGCGCCGAGACTCTAATCCTGGCTTCCAGACATTGGGACTTTCTGGGGACTGGAGGTCATCAAACTCAGTGCTGGTGGCCTCCTCAAAACCTCCCACAGTACCCTTAAAATCCTCCTCATCTTCTAGGAAGCACCTGTAGGGATTTACCTGGACTTTTGATATGTCCCTCCCCACTGATGCTGTCCCAGTTCCTGGAACCAACAATGTCAGCACTGTTGCCTCCATGATCCTCAGGGCCAGCTAGATCGGTACCTTCAGCACCAACTGGGAGGGCACACACTCTCACAGAAGAAAACTACTTCTCATCCTCATTCACATAGCACAAGAACCAGGGTCAGCCAATGCAATTAATAGGCAGCAGGTTTAAAACAAACATAAGGAAGTACTTCTTCACACACCTCATAGTCAGCCTGTGGAATTCATTACCAGGGGATGTTGTGAAGGCCTCAGGTATAACTGGGTTCTAAAAAAAATTAGATAAGTTCGTGGAGGATCGGTCCATCATGGCACCCATGCTCAGGCTGTCCCTAACCTCCAACTGCCAAAATCTGGGAGTGGATGACAGGATGGATCATTCGATAATTGCCCTGTTCTGTTCATTTCCCTCCAAAGCATCTGGCACCAGCCACTGTCAGAAGACAGGATACTGGGCTAGGTGGACCATAGGTTTGACCCAGGCATGAGTACAGTACTAACCCCACCCGGAGTTCAGAACCACAAACAGCAGCAGCCTTCTCCCATGCTACAACCACAAAACCCAGAGTAGCTGGTACCAGCTAATTTGTCTTCATAATCACTGGACGAGACGCTTATACCACACCAAGTGATGGTCACTCCAGAAGACCATAAATAATCCAGGACTTGATGAGGCATATACCAACAACTATAGAGATTCCCACCAAAGAAGTACCTGGCACACTGCACAGGCTGCTCAATATATTACATATATCGGTACCATGTTGCATAGCAATCATGATAAACAAGGACCTACTAGATCCTGCGAAGACCCTGTGGCAGACACCAGCATCATTAGCACCAACATCAAAGTAGGCTGATAGATAGTATCAGGTGCTGGCCTATTCATACCTGGTACAGGGATCACTAGTAGTGACTGTGGCAAATGAGAGAATGTGCCCCGGCTACCAGAATTCGGCTGCAAGCATAAGGAGCCTAGACTTTCTTGGTAGGAAATTGTACTCAACCTTGAGCCGCCAAATAAGGATATTGAACTATTAAGCAATCGTAGCAAAATATGACTACCTTGACTGGTGTTCTGTGGAATGTTTTATTGACAAACTGCTGCAGGAATTCAGAAGTGAGTTGTAAGCCATCCTGACGGGCAATTGGTTGCCAAGACAGCTTTACGGGCAGCATTGGACACTATCGATATGATCCCCAGGGCCATGGGAACAATGGTTATAATGTGCCATTCCTCACAGGGGACACATGACCATAGGCTTAAAGGGAGCATCCATGACTTTTGAGAGCACCAAGTAAAGATCCCACATAGGGAGTGGATCCCTAAACGATAGACAGTGTAGAGACGCTCCTCAGGAATCTGTTTGCCATTGAGTGTGCAAATACTGATTGATCATGTGGTGGATGGATGACTGATATGGCAGCCAAATGAACTCTCAGCAAGAGACCTGTTTCAGCTGGTATAGTTATTCCCACATAGCCTGGAAATATGGTGCTGGTGGGTCCAATTGGAGAATCTCATCCACTTAGAGAGGCACTGTGCTGTAGTCTCTGTTTGCATAGGCTCCTCATTTCTGACTCCAATGAGAACTACTGCTTGAGATTCATCAGCTGCGGAATATGTATACAGGCTACCACTCAAAGAAGAAAAGAGGCTACTTACCTGTACAGTAACTGAGTTTCTTTGAGATGTGTAGTCTGTATATGTATTTCATCACCCATCTGCCATCCTTGCTGCTTCAGAGTCTTCACAAACCACTAAAGATGGCAAAGGAACTGGATGTAGTTGGGTGACTCCGCCCTTTGTACTCTCACCAGAATGCACAAGGATATGAAGGGCACATATGCCACCCCAACCGACACTGCTAATTAGAAAGTTTTCTAACGCATGAGCACTGGGCGTGCAAACACCAACTGTGGAATATGAAGACAGGCTACACACCTTTAAGAACATCAGTACTGTACATGTAACTAACCTCTTTGTACTTCATATTAAGTGTTCCCCTTCCCAGAGAAGGGGTAAATACTTTGTTTGAAAAGTGCTTTGAATATGTCAGTTAAATATGAGGTCTGGGTGTGGTTAGGGCTGAACATTTATTTGTAAAATTTCAAGTAGTCAGACAACCCTGTGTTCCCCCTCTCAGCCAATTTGTCTCAGGAGAGGGGGAATTAGTTACTGAGAGGTCTAATCTAATCGTTGCCTCAATTTCTTAGGGTTTGTGGCAAGTTTAGCTCCATAGACTTTGCCCAGTTCTAATTGTTTCACATCTAGGCTGCAAAGTTCTCAAGTGACACCTCCCCCCACCCCATGCTATCAGAACAACATTCTCTCATTTTGTTGATTTCTACTTTCCCTTAGTATAGAGGCAGATGAGAAAAATAGAAAGAAAATAGATTTGGCAAGGCTAAATTGGTGAGATTGAGACCTATGGTTCATGGCTGTAGATCCTTGATAGAAATAGTCTGCCTGGATTTTCATGAACATAAAGTAAAACCTGATGCCAGTCTGAGCTTAGGATTGATTAGGCCTCTGGATAAGAGGAGTGAGAGCAAAAGATTCTTCTGAGGATGCTTCCTGAAACACAGTGACTTTCCCAGGTTGGTGCTCTGAGAGAGAGTGCAAGTTGCAGTTCCTCTGCTGGATTCTCTTCTATGGGACAACTCTCTCTTCAGCCCCTTTCTCATATCTTGTGGGCAGAGGTAGAGCACAGCTGTTCTTTTGAAAGAGAAGAGAGCAGTGAAGAGAGTGAAGCATCTCCTCATAACAGAACAGACTAGCACGAAAGGAAAATGAACATTTCCCAGACTAGAAGCCCCTTTAAACCAGCTTGGCATGACTAGGTGACTGGCTGCCTTTCAGCTCTTGGTCATTAGTTCAAAATTCAGTGAGTAGGAGTTGAAAGCTGTTACGAATGGTTGTTTATTGGACCATGATGTAAAAATGTGGGGAAGGGAGATATCTTGGCCCAGGTCCTAGTGGGCAGGCTACCTTCTTGTTCGGTGCTAATTTGCCCCTTGTTGGCAGGTCTCAGCAGAGAGACCAAAGACTGAATGGGCCATGGAATCTGGCCTCTCCTCTCACTCTAGCTCTGGGGTGAAGTGCATCAACATGCCAGCATAGGGAAGCTTGCCCTGCTTTTGCCACAGCTGTGGATAAAACATCATGCCATATATCAGCACTCTTTACCAGCCCTACACTCACTGGTTTTGTTTTAAATGAGTTTGAATGAGAATTGATGTGTGTGATTGATTCTACACTGTTGTTTCTTTTTCTTTGGGTTTGTCTCTTGTGCTATTTTATATTTGGGAATCACTAGTGTGTTCCAGCAAAATCTCCACATGATGGGTTATAGGTTCAGTAGAATTCTGGTATCTTGCTGTCCCTCCTCCTCTTATGCTTTCCAGTTCCTTTTCTCAGTAACCAGCTGCTGTGTATTCCTGACTGGGCCTGCGAAGCAAAGAAACTTGAGGTTTTGGATATGAGCTACAATCTCCTCACAGAGCTTCCATCAAGGTAATAGCAAACCCCCTTCTTGGCCAAAGGTGGGACTCCCTCCAGGATGTGTGTTTTGGGGAAAAAGAGTGATAGTACTTTTCTATACCCCTCTCCCTCCCCCCCCCCCCCCCAGCAATGTTTCACTTGCTTGTGATGCCAATATGTAGTGCCACGCTGTCTGGACTGTGCATATGTTCAAAACATTCATAGATTTTTAAGGTCAGAAGGGATTGTTATAATCATCTCATTTGACCTCCTGAATAACACAGGGCAAAGAATTTCATCCAGCGATTCCTGCATCTACCCCAACAATTTGTGGCTGAACTAGAGAGTATATTGTAGGAAGATGATCCAAGCTTGATTTAAAGGCTTCAAATGCTGGAGAATCTACCACATCCTGTGAGTAGATTCCAATTGCTGGTTATTCTCAACAATAAAATGTATGCCTTATTTCCAGTTTGAATTTTGCTGATTTCAACTTCCAGCTGTTGGATCTTGTTGTACCTTTGTTAGATAACTTTAAAAAGCCCTGTAATATCAGGAACTTCTCCCAGTGTAGGTTATTTTAGACTGTTGCCTCTTTTCTATATGTTGCTCTTAATCCTTTTTTCCCCTACAACTAATTAAGGGACCGAACGGCTAGGCAGCAATTCTGCGGAAAAGTACCCAGGGGTTACCGTGGACGAGAAGCTCGATATGAGTCAACAGTTTGCCCTTGTTGCCAAGAAAGCTAACGGCATTTGGGGCTTTATAAGTAGGGGCATTGCCAGCAGATCGAGGGATGTGATCATTCCCCTCTATTCGACATTGGTGAGGCCTCATCTGGAGTACCGTAATTCCTCACTTAGTCATCCCGCTTAACGTTGTTTCGTTGTTACGTTGCTGATCAGTTAGGGAACATGCTCGTTTAAAGTTGTGCAATGCTCCCTTCTAGCGTCTTTTGGCAGCCGCCTGCTTTGTCCACTGCTTGCAGGAAGAGCAGCCCGGTGGAGCTAGCTGGTGGGTGGTTGGAACCAGGGTGGACCGACAGCCCCCCTATCAACTCCCCGCTCCCCTAAGTTCCCTGTGCAGCAGCTGCCCAGCAGGCTATCAATCAGCTGT